TTAACCTATATAAACATATATGTTTTAATATAGGTTTTGATATAGGTTTTTAATATATGTGACATATATAAAATTGGCCGTTTTCCTATACTATATGTACATATATGTAGAAAATTGGCCGTTTTCCTATATTATATGTACAAATATCTCACTATAGGAAAACGGCCAATTTTATATATGTCACATATATTAAAAACCTATATCAAAACCTATATTAAAACATATATGTTTATATAGGTTATTTCCGTGTGGGTCACGCCTTTCGGCGGAGAAGCAGCACAGACGCCGTGAGATCGGGTGAACGAGGGTTTATTAGAAGGGAGACAAAACAGGAACATCGAAGAAGCGCAAGACGGACGTCAATGACAGGACTGGGGAAACATACTTTGACGCGGTCTTTACATTGGACTAATGAGAAATGGAAACAGCTGATAAACACATGGATTCCGTAGGAGTTTAACGAGGGGGCATGGCACATCCCCCACGGCCCCCCCCCCAAAAAAAAAAAAAAAAAAAAAAACGTTGCAGCCTGTAACAGACTGTGCAATCATCCACACTTTTAATGTAATGATTAACATTATGCTGTTCCGATATGGCGCCCCCTGCTGATGATGTCTCTGTTAAACTTGATACCCATGATTACGATATTAATTTGGACTTTTGGTGTTTTATTGGCAATTACTTAATGTATTAAAGTGACAATAAACATATGCTGGGGAGTCTTTGCAAAACGAGAAAGGCTGTTCTGGATTAAGTGAAAACGTTTCCCTTGATACCTAATGTCACCCAATGGACAGGCCAGTCGGTGTAGATGCCTGCTGATCAAATTGATGGCACTCCTCCAGAATATCCTGTTTTCTGTCTGATTCCTCAGTTTTCTCTGTGGTATGGCCATTATTGTGATGAGTAGCCTACACACAACGTGTGCCCTCTTGTGGGGCATTTTCCTATGCTTCTCGCGGCAGGACGAGGTTGGCACGTAGTCTGCTGCCTTGACCACGTTCCAGGATCCTTTTTTTATTTATTCATGTATCATCAGCAGTATCACTTGGTGAGGCTACAGTACCCCCTGCAACCCCTGACCAGGATACGGAGTAAGAAGACAGTTCAAGTAGTTTTAGTAAAAGTGGTACAAATTATGTATAGGGCCTATACACTAGCACTTCAGCCTCATCACCTCTGACTGGTTTTCTTAATTGTGTAATTAGCCTTGCTGATTTTTTCCTAAAAAACAATCACTCTTAAACCATGAAACCATCAGGATAATTAGTTGATGTTTTTGTACTAGTCCTTACTTGTGTAAAAATATGGAAATTAATTTTTTGCCATTAGTTTATGCAATTTCTGCTAAAAAACACGCACGAACTACAAAACGACAGTGCTAACGTAGTGATCATAAGTTCCCGAGTAGTGACGGGGAATTTACGCTTATGGAGGCGACAATAACCGGCTGTTTACCTTTAGTACCCGCTTCTGGATACCGGTCCAGTCTGCGCATGCTCTGTGCATCCATCCAAGACACGTCAGGGGAGCTCAGAAGAAGATGCTCAACGCCATGGGTCGGCGGAGCCTTAAAACCTGACGAAAGTGATCATCGCTGTTGCATATAATCATACATATACACATAGGAAGGAAGAGGGAAAAGCTCAGAGAAAGCAAACAAGTTAGGACAGATCTTTCAGTTTAAATATCGGATTACAGTCCAATTGATACCAACTATGGAACTAAAGAAATTCATCACAGACAGTGAGCGGGCGATGAAGAGCTACGGCACCGTGCAGGGCACGGAGTGGCAGACAGACAAAGGTAAGCATTCGTAACGTGCTCAGTATTTCTACGTATTTTACAGAAGATGGGTTTATTCAGTGGGATATTTCATGTATTCCGAAAGCAAGCACTGAAAAACATCAGTGTCAATAGCCTACTGCCGTACTGCCTCCACAACGTCAGTGTTATCAATCCGGTAATCTTAATGCATAAGTTAAACGCTTCAAAAATTTGATCGTCCTACTTACCGCAAACGAAAGAAAGTAAAATCGATCTCCGTGACCATAATATAAAAAGCTAGTTGTAAATTTAGACAGGTCGAACGTGCTTGTGACATTCCTTGCAATAGGATGATGCAAATGTGCAAGTAAACTGTCTGCTTGTACGGCGGGGGAGGCTGGTGCGGATTAGCCCGCTTTCGGTAGATCACTGTGGTTTAATTACACACTGGATAATCATACCCAGCAGTACTAGTACTTCCATTTCTTTGGGTCACTTTCTCTCTTCATGTAAATAATTTATGAAACCTATAAACAAACAAATTAGTAGCCAAAACAATGAATAATTCATAAATCAAATCCCCCCCAGGATCCTGTCTAGGAAAAGCAGTTTGAAGATGGATGGATGGGTTAAGCTAGCCTGATTATCATAAAGATGTGGAGAAAAAGCAGGATGTATCAGAAATATCATTCATGTGTGAAGCTGGTGGAATTCTCTCTGACATTTCTTATGGATTAAGTTTCTTAAGCTGTAAATCTATTTCATTAGTAAAAGATGTAACCAAGGATGATGTTACATATAATAATAGAATGAGAAATATCCCAGAATGTGGTGTATGGTATGGCTAAACATGAATACAAAAATAAACACAGTGACATTATCAAGCTATAATAAAGGCTTTGGGCACCAGAGTAACTGAAGACCACTTATGTTGTTATCAAACCAAGTACCTGTTCATTCGAGTACCATAACACCTTTTCCTTTTAAGGAGTAAAGGATTTGAAAAGCCTTATTTGCCCTAGAATAACACAGTATATAGGCTAAGAAGAGAAGCTTTTTCATTCAGGTAAAAATAGAGCAGCATTGTGGCATCAGAGGGCAAAAGGCAGCAGTGAGACCTGAACCTCGATCTGCTGCACCGAGGGGCTTTGGCTACCCCCCCCCCCCACATGAGCTGTGATCATGTGCTGTAACCTTCCAATCTGTCGAACTGAAGAGTTTGTGCCAGGCCTGGCTTGAGCTCTGAGAGGTCGGGTGGACCACAGGGAGGCCAGGGAGAGGTGTGGCCTTTGGATGTAATCAGCCTTGTGGGGGGCCAAGCCTGTGATTGGGTAGGTCAGACCAGGCCTGTACAGCGAAGTATACTGGGAGATTTACCTCCCATCTGCGAGGCTGCCAGGTGTGGCTTTGTCTAATGCTTCTGTCATTTTGAGGTGAAGCTCAGTGGTCACCTACCCTAAGGGCACCAACTCTGGTTTGATGAGCTGCAGTAGAAGCAGGCCTTGTTGCTTCTAGGGCACTATAGGCTCTCTGTTCGCTACTGCTGAACCCCAACAGTACTGAGGCGGTCAGATCATTCATGAGCGTAAAAAGGAAATTGTCTTTTGAAACAAAGGAAATTTCCAGCAGGGGATTTCTGCTCATCTGTTACCCGTAGTTAATCGATAGCTGAGGAGTGGCTTCCTGAGTCATGACCACTAAGCAACACCAAGAATTAGTTTAAAGATGGACCTCTTGCTTCACCCGAGATACCTTATTTATTCTTAATTGTCCTCTAAAAGACTCTGTCGTACCTGCTGGGAGAAAGAATTTGGGTGATGACAAAAACCCTCACAGACTCATTCAGTTTATCAGTATTAATAGAAATGTCAGTGCCTAATTTTAGCTAGTTCTGTGTTGCTGTTCCCTCTCGGACCAGCGGGGAGATATTGCTGGCTTTGGTACCAAATGAAACCAGAGGGATATTTATACAAACGAGGATGACCTGTGATGAATGTGTAGATTCCGGATTCTCCTGGAGCTGACAAAGTGTGCCATATTTGTCACCACCCAGGTGGTGGGAGGATGTGTGTGGGTGTGCATCTGATAGGGAGGGGGTTCTATAAAAAGTCATTTAATTTAAAACTAGGATTAAAGGCAGAATTATTATGAATACTGAAGTTTTGTTGTTTCCTAGATAAATCGGTGTGGCTATAACATGTATATGTTCTATTAATCAAGCCTTTCCTTCAATAAAGTACAAGCTTTTTATTCTCCACCAAGCTCCTGGGCTGTAAAAATGTAGTATAGAGATGTACAGTTTATGCTTGTCTCTTTGTCTCATTTGTCTTATTGTCCCTTTAATCAGTTACAGATGTAACAGATTATCTGGAACTGTCCTCACCGTGAAACTGAAATATGATAAAGTTAAATGTCAGTAATGTTAAATTTGAACTTTTTCAAAGACTCTCTTGGACTTTCACATCATTGTCCAGTTTACCCATGTCTTCCGTCTTTAATAAAAACTGCTGGTTGTGGCATTTAGGAAATATTACAGCTCAAGGTAAAGTGTGTAACACAAGTCAGCCTCTCAGAATCCTTTTCCTAACATTCCACTGTGCATCTGTGTGAGGTCACTATCCCCTTAAATGTCAGCGTGTCAATATTTTATTGGACTTTTGACTCCAGAGAGCATATTCCTTTTATTGTATTTGCTATTTTAGGCGAGATGGAAACTGGACTCAAAAATGTTGGAAGAAAATCAATCTTGAATATTATTCCTGATCTGCAGGACTAAAGTTTCACAGCATGGAGGTTAAGTCTTACCAGTTTGTGTTGTTTTCCAGACCCTTCTAGCATCTAAACACATATTTTTCAGATTTTTCATCATAGTTCATAGTTTTGACAGTGACCTTTTTCATTCATAAACTAAAAACCATATCAAAAGAAAAAACTCCGGTCCTGTTGTGGTTGTACTACAGAGTGGCTGCTCATTCAGAGTGAAAAACAGTTTGGCAGTGGAGACTATGATTGCAAAAGAAACACAAAGCCATTTGAGGGGCTGTAAGAGTGTTATGCTCACGCACCTAGTAGATTTCTTAAGTTGGGGGGGAAAAAAAAAGAATAAATAAAAGCTGCTGCTGCTGCATGAAGAGAAACTCTTAAAATATAAATAATACAATATACAATTTTTGCAGTTGCAGATATTACAGTATTTCTCCAGCTGTTTGTAAGAGTATAATTTCACTTACAGATTTTGCAGCTGTACTAAATATAGTGAAACACATCCGGTAAGAGCCGACCAAAAAGGATTTAGGAGTTATGACCTTCAGTTCAATACTTTGGAAAATAGTAATTTTATGTTAGGTCTGTAAAAGACTAGTATTATGCAGAAATGCTTAGCACAGTATTCGGCAGAGAATTTTTATATTTATGGGCTATTTTCATTTGTTAAATCAACTTTGCATTATGTGAAGAAGTTTTTTGATTGATTAGTGATCAGCGGATTTATTTCCAGTGACTTTTTGTGCGGCTTTAATTCCTCTTGCTATTTAATCCCTATTCTGCTTCTCGTTCAGCCAGAGGCCTCTTCTTTACTGACCCACTGCTGAATTTTAATTGAAATGGTATTTAAACCCACCAGACAGAGCGAGAACTTCTGCGGGGGCCCGTAATTAGGCCAACAACCAAGACTAGGGATCCTTCTTGCCTCATATTTGTCTTAGATGTCATTGATAATTTTGTCATAGACTTCCTCGGATTCAGCTGTGCTGCTTCTGAGAAGGCAAGCAGGACCTTGTGCAGAACCAGCCAATGAGACACCAAGGCCGAGACAGAGAGACTTTATATTTGGGATGTAGTTGACATTATAGAACATTTTCCAGATAGCTACATATGAGGCCTAGAGGTGTAATGCATGTCTTTATTGCTGGTGACTCAATGGGAAGTAAGAGAATATTAGCAGAATGTAAACAACCATTTTTGATGTGTTTTTAAAGACCGGAGAGAATCATTAGTCCAAGCAGTGTTACATATACTGTATCTCCATATATCCCTGGAGAGTAGGGTCTGTCCCTCCCAGTTCACTTTGCAGTTATTATTCATTACTTTGCACTGGTATTTTTACTGAAAGCAGCTTAGAGTTTCCCCCCAACTGGATGCTTTCCTGGAGCAGATGAGGCTCAACAGCTTTGCCAGAGACTGGAAACAGCAATGCTTGTGTTATAAGTCTGTGTCCTTAGAGTGTAGTAAGGTGTGTTTCCAAAAGAATTATGTTGCAATCAAAGGTGGGTAATTCAGGTCCAGAGAGTAAAAGTCCAGACCAAGAGTTTGTTTCAACCAACTAGTTCAGCATAGAGTGTCACAGTAGTACTCAACTGGTCGGTTGAAACAAATCCCTAGTCTGGACTTTTACTCTCTGGACCTGAATTACCCACCTTTGACTGCAATGGACTGCACCACTGAGAATAATGAGAGGGTCTCTCCAGCTGCAGTCAGATGTGTGGGATGAGGTTGGTTCAGGAGCTTTTCTGCAGAAAGTTCATCAAGGTGTTAGTGTGGCTGTGGTGTGTGGCTCAGTGGGTTATAACACTATGCCTGTGAGTGAGTGGAAGCTCACTGCTTCATGTCCCAAGCCAAAAGAGAGGTTATATATATATAATGACTTTTGAACCCCCCCCCCCCTGAAAGTTTGACCCGAAGGAATCCCACACTCTCCTGTCGGTATGCTTCCCTGAAAATCTCTCTGCGTCTTTTTGCTCATGGTTCCATGTTTTTCGGCAGATTAGATATCAGCCTGAAAGATGGGTCCTGTCATCAAAAACAGCTTTGTGTGCACTCGGTGACACCCTAGTGACAAAACGCCAACTGGTAAAATGCTGCTAATGCTCTCTTAGGATCACTCTGGTCCAAATGACCGGAACCATCCAATAGTCAGCAAGGGTTAGGTTATTGGGGATGAGGTAGGGAAATAAATAAATACACTGCTCAAAAAAATAAAGGAACGCTTTGAAAACACATCAGATCTCAATGGGGGAAAAAAATCATGCTGTATATCTATACTGATATGGACTGGGTCATGTGTTAGGAACGAAAGGATGCCACATCGTTTGAAAAAATGATCCAGTAGGCTGGTCCATTTTGCCGAAATTTCTTTGCAGCAACTCAAAATCGTACTCAGTAGTTTGTATGGCCCCCACGTGCTTGTAGGCATGCCTGACAATGTTGGAGCATCTTCCTAATGAGACGACGGATGGTGTCCTGGGGGATCTCCTCCCAGATCTGAACCAGGGCATCACTGGTCTCCTGGATAGTCTGAGGTGCAACCTGGTGGCATCAAATGGACTGAAACATAATGTCCCAGAGGTGTTCCATTGGATTTAGGTCAGGCGAGCATGGGGGCCAGTCAACGGTATCCATTCCATCATCCTACAGGAACTGCCTGCATACTCTCGCCACATGAGGCCAGGCATTGTCGTGCACCAGGAGGAACCCAGGACCCACTGCACCAGCGTAGGGTCTGACAATGGGTCCAAGGATTTCATCCTGATACCTAATGGCAGTCAAGGTGTCGTTGTCTAGCCTGTAGAGGTCTGTGTGTCCCTCCATGGATATGCCNAGTAGGCTGGTCCATTTTGCCGAAATTTCTTTGCAGCAACTCAAAATCGTACTCAGTAGTTTGTATGGCCCCCACGTGCTTGTAGGCATGCCTGACAATGTTGGAGCATCTTCCTAATGAGACGACGGATGGTGTCCTGGGGGATCTCCTCGCAGATCTGAACCAGGGCATCACTGGTCTCCTGGATAGTCTGAGGTGCAACCTGGTGGCATCAAATGGACTGAAACATAATGTCCCAGAGGTGTTCCATTGGATTTAGGTCAGGCGAGCATGGGGGCCAGTCAACGGTATCCATTCCATCATCCTACAGGAACTGCCTGCATACTCTCGCCACATGAGGCCAGGCATTGTCGTGCACCAGGAGGAACCCAGGACCCACTACACCAGAGTAGGGTCTGATGATGGGTCCAAGGGTTTCATCCCGATACCTAATGGCAGTCAAGGTGTCGTTGTCTAGCCTGTAGAGGTCTGTGTGTCCCTCCATGGATATGCCTCCCCAGACCATCACTGACCCACCACCAAAATGGTCTTGCTGAACAGTGTCACAGGCAGCATAATGTTCTCAGCAGCTTCTCCAGACCCTTTTACTTCTGTCACATGTGCTCAGGGTGAACCTGCTCTCATCTGTGAAAAGCACAGGGCGCCAGTGGTGGACCTGGCAATTCTAGTATTCTGTGGCAAATGCCCATCGAGCCACTGAGGACGTCGGGCCCTCAGGCCACCCTCATGAAGTCTGTTTCTAATTGTTTGCTCAGAGATATGCACACCAGTGACCTGCTAGAGGTCATTCTGTAAGGCTCTGGCAGTGCTCCTCCTGTTCCTCCTTGCACAAAGAAGCAGATACTGGTCCTACTTATGGGTTAAGGACCTTCTACGGCCCTGTCCATCTCTCCTAGACTAACTGGAATGTCCTCCATGGCCTTGAGACTGTGCTGGGAGACACAGCAAACCTTCTGGCAATGGCACATATTGATGCACCATCCTGGAGGAGTTGGACTCCCTGTGCAACCTCTGTAGGGTCCAGGTATCACCTTATGCTACCAGAAGCGACACTGACTGTAGCAAAATGCAAAAATTAGTGGGAAAAAAAACTGTCAGAAAAGATGAGGGAAAAATGTCAGTGGCCTCCACCTGTTAAACCACTCTTGTTTTGGGGGTCGTCTCATTGTTGCCCCTCTAGTGCACCTGTTGTTAACTTCTTTAACACCAAAGCAGCTGAAACCGATTAACAACCACCATTGCTACTTAACGGACTAGATCAATATCCCAGAAGTTAAATTGACTCGATGCTATGCTCCGATTAAAAAGTGTTCCTTTAATTTTTTTGAGCAGTGTATATATTTATATAAATAAAGGGAAACGGCCCTGGCCTGCAATTGCAAATTGGACAAAAGAACCCACAACTGAACTGGGACTGCAGCAGAACCAGGAGCAGGCATCGGGAATGTCAGGGTTACTAGGAGTGATAAGATCAGCGGAAAACAACAAGGGTTGGTGGGAACAGATGGGATACTCTTGGTCTCCTGATAATTGTGATAACACTCTTTCAGCTGTGCCTTACAGACCAAACTCTCTCTCTTGTCATTTTCAGCTCTATGATCCATGGGTGAAACGCTGAGATTATGATCTCAGTCATAGTGCAAGAAAAACAGTGATAAATAGAACCAAATGACATTTAAGCACTGACAGTTTGTATTTTGCTGTCTGTCTCGTGTCAGTATGTTGTTTAAATTGTCAAACAAAAGTAGTCAAAATATGTGTGTGTGTGTGTGTGTGTGTGTGTGTGTGTGTGTGTGTGT